CAGTTCATTCCACTGTGGCAACCCCTGATAGAGAGGGGTCTGGATGCAGACCTGGTGCAGTGCAATCTGAGCTGCATCCAATGCTTTTTACTGGACTCACCTAACCCTACCCGTCACAGTGACGTCACTCACTCCATTTGAGTGCATTGTGTCTGACATTGCATCGCTGAGTGATGCAATCTCAGCTTGCTTCATAAATGCTGCATCCAGATACTATTGGAGAAATAAGGGACTAAGCCGAAAGAAAATAAATGAATGAATGAATGTACAGATTTACAGAACAGCCTGTCAATAATACATTATTAAAGGTTTAGTGAGTGGTTTGAGGTCAGAATAGTCTGACTATCTGACCAGAATTTAAATGTTGAGGTAGATTATTACCTAAACTACTGTTCAAAGTTAGAGGTTGAAGAATAAATGAATCAATAGGTTTATAAAGTAATGTTTTATACTCGCCAATAGTACATTTATTGACCAAATTTATGATACTTCATACAATATATACTCACCGGCCACTTTATTAGGTGCACTTACTAGTACCGGGTTGGCCCCCTTTTGCCTTCAGAACTTCCTTAATCCTTTGTGGCATAGATTCAACAAGGTACTGGAAATATTCCTCAGAGATTTTGGTCCATATTGACATGATAGCATCACGCAGTTGCTGCAGATTTGTCGGCTGCACATCCATGATGTGAATCTCCCGTTCTATTGGATTGAAATCTGGTGACTGTGGAGGCCATTCGAGTACAGAGTACTCATTGTCAAGTTCAAGAAACCAGTCTGAGATGTTTCACGCTTTATGACATGTCGCGTTATCCTGCTGGAAGTAGCCATCAGAAGATGAGTACATTGTGATCATAAAGGGATGGAGATGGTCAGCAACAATACTCAGGTAGGCTGTGGCGTTGACGTGATGCTCAATTGGTACTAATGGGCCCAAGGTGTGCCAAGAAAATATCCCTTACATCCTTACACCAGCACCAGCAGCCTGAACCATTGATACAAAGCAGGCTGAATGCATGCTTTCATGTTGTTGACTTCAAATCCTGACCCTACCATCTGAAGGTCACAACAGAAATCGAGTCTTATCAGACCAGGCAACAGTTTTCCAATCTTCTATTGTCCAATTCTGGTGAGTCTGTGTGAAATGTAGCCTCGGTTTCAGAGTGGCACCTGGTGTGGTCTTCTGCTACTGTAGCCCATCCGCCTCAGGGTTGGATGTGTTGAGCGTTTAGAGATGCTCTTCTGCATACCTCGGCTGTAACGAGTGGTTATTTGAGTTACTGTTGCCTTTCTATCAGCTCGAACACGTCTGGCCATTCTCCTCTGACCACTGGCATCAACAAGGCATTTGTGTTACAGAACTGCCACGCACTGGACATTTTCTCTTTTTCGGACTATTGTTTGTAAACCCTAGAGATGGTTGTGCATGAAATTCTCAGTAGATCAGCAGTTTCTGAAATACTCAGACCAGCCCATCACCGACAACCATGCCACGTTCAAAGTCACTTAAATCACATTTCCTCTCCATTCTGATGCTCGGTTTGAACTACAGCAGATCATCTTGACCATGTCTACATGCCGAAATGCATCGAGTTGCTGCCATGTGATTGGCTGAATAGAAATTTGCGTTAACAAGCAGTTAGATAGGTATACCTAATAAAGTGGCCGGTGAGTGTAAGTTTTCATTGAACACATCACTGAATGAAAATTTTAAGAAAATAATCAGAAAATAATGTGAAAATAATCACATTTTCACAAACAGAATTATGCACATATTCAAGTTCATCAATAAAATGAATTCTCGAGAGTGTGTAAGATAGGGGTGAGCTAATTTATAGATGGTAGTCTGTTAAAATAATGGTAGTCCAAAATTAACTGAAACATGTTTTTTTTGTTGTTGTTGTTGTTGTAATAGTTTTATGTCTCCCAATAACTGCAAACTGTATATTTTGAGGGTTTAAAGCCTTTCGCAAAGATTCATTCCCAGCTAAAAATTACCAGAATGCTTTATGAGTGTTTCAAATCTCAAAGAAATCCTACTGAACTCTTTCATTTACATACTAGAACCAATAGTCTCAGTCAAAATATTTTAATAACAATAATAAGTCATATTATAATGATAGCAATAAGAATAAGAATATAACAATAAGTCCAGGACCTACAAGAGAATGAAAACATACAAATGTATTAAAGCTTCATATCTTTCACATCCTGTACAAATTTTTTTCATTACCACTACACAGTTGAGTCTTAGGTTCAATTCCACAGCAAAAGCACCTCTGAAAAGATTCTGATTGTACAAGTATTTTAAATAATAAATAAAATACAGTTGAAGTCAGAATTATTAGCCCTGCTGAATTATTAGTCCCCTGTATATTTTCCCCCAAATCTCTGTTAAAAGAAGAGAAGATTTTTTTCTCGATATTTCTAAACAATAAAGTTTTAATATCTCATTTCTAATAACTCATTTATATTATCTTTGCCATGATGACAGTAAATAATATTTGACTAGATATTTTTCAAGATACTAGTATTCAGTTTAAAGTGACAAAGGTTTAACTAGGTTAATTAGGCAAGTTAGGGCAATAAGACAAATCATTGTATAATGATGGTTTGTTCTGTAAACAGTCAAAATTAAAACATAGCTTAAAGGGGCTAATACTATTGACATTAAAATAGTTTTCAAAAATTAAAAACTGCTTTTATTTTAGCCGAAATAAAACACATAAGACTTTCTCCAGAAGAAAAAACATTATATGAAATACTGTGAAAAATTCCTTGCTCTGTTAAACATCATTTGGGAAATATTTAAAAAAGATATAAATAAAATTCACAGGAAGGTGAATAATTCTGACTTCAGCTGTATATTCCTTTTGACATGCATTCTGTCTACAAACTAATGGCGAGTTCAGAGCGCATGATTTTCAAAGTAGTCTCGTCACAGATGTTTTCACACTGCATGACTATCAGTGCTAGTGTTTCGTCGCTGCTGTGTTTACACTGTAGGATCATTTGGACACTGAATGACTTTACAATAGGAATAATCGATGACAACTTCGTCTTGGACCACGAACTACATCTCACAACCAAACACACGCAAGAAGTGACATGGAAACAATGCAAAGTCACATAGTATATATTTTGTTATTGACTACATAATGAGAAAGAAGCCTTTAATGGGGTAGAAAACATTATTTTGCTCACCTGGCTTTGAAGGGAATTAGCAATTTCTTTTTCGACCCAGTTGTAGTATTGCTCAGATTACACGTCAAACAGACATGTGTGCTCCTGCCAAATTTACACCAGTTTCTACTTAATTTCTTAGTCCAAATAGGCCGAAAATTAGCACTTTCAACTTCTCCCCAACCTCCCGCTGGCCTGCAGATACACACACTAGTTGATGCTGCTTCCTTATTGGCTGTAGGTGATCGCTGATGTTATTTTCAATCAGAACACATTTCACAAGACATGATTTTGAATTGCCAAAAGCCCCAGATATGCCTGCCAAATATCTCACGGTTGTCAGTAGTGGCACTGATGGTCGGTACGGGCCCAGTGACAACATTTAGGTAGGGCTGTGCAATTACTCGAAAATTCGATTTTGCCTTCTAACGATTATGAAAAATCACTAATCGAGATAAATGATTATAGCATCATTTACCGCCCCTTTCCAGTTGTACACGTGTTGATCTTAAAAGCGCGAAAGACCGCATGATTCTGTGTGCCGCGCACCCACAGAATTGAAGCATGCAGTCAGCATTCGGTCTCACTAGCACACTGAGACGAGCAGATCGCAGTCAACGCACAAATCTAAAGTCATCTTAACATGAGCGCTTTAATGGTCAAATAGGTGTCAAAATACGGTGTTTAGTGATTATTCATATCAAGTATCATTTGTGTAATAAACAAACGAGTTGAGAATCAAAAGAGACGCAAAAGAGAAACTATTAAAGAGACAGAGCGCTATTATCCTTCTGCCGCCTGTTTTTATGATTATTAATCAAACAACAAATGGAGAACATGCCTCTGCTCTTGACTGAAGGACTTTTGTAGCTAAATTGTTTCTTAAAGTGAAGATGCTTAAAGCACAGTTTGTTTTATATTTTTATTCTATTGTATTTATTTCTCTTTCCTTTGCAGGGTGGAAAATATTAGCAACCCTTTTCCCCCCAATTTCTGTTTAATGGAAAGAAGATTTCTGAACATAATAGCTTTAATAACTCTTTTCTTATAACTTATCTATTTTATCTTTGTCATGATGAGAGCACATAATATTTGACTAGATATTTTTTCAAAATACATGCATTCAGATTCAAAGTGCGATTTAAAGGCTTAATTAGTGTTATTAGACAGGTCATTGTATAACAGTAGTTTCTTCTGCAGGCAATCAAAAATATATTGCTTAAGGGGGCTAATATTATAGACTTTAAAATGGGTTTCAAAATATTTAAACCTGCTTTTATTCTAGCCAAAATAAAAATAAAAAAAGCCTTTCTCCAGAAGAAAAAATATAAGAGGAAATACTGTTAAACATCATTTGGGAAATGTTTATTTTTTACAAAATTCTCAGGAGCGCTAATAATTTTGACTTTAACAGTAATCGTTTTGAATAATCGTGATTTCAATTATGGCCAAAATAATCGTTATTATGATTTTTCCCAAAATCGAGCAGCCCTACATTTAGGTTTTTCAGGTTTTGTCACAGACAAAAGTGAGGAGCGGGGTTTGGGGAGTGGGGGAGAGAGGGTGATTGGGGGCCCCCAATAGTATCATTGGCGATTCTCTCAGATCGCATCTTTGATAATACACACTGTGTGATAGTTTTTCACGTGAACGAGCGCCGATTTGCCTGTGATTTCAGGCGTTTGTCAGCGAGTCAAAAATTGAGGCTAAAATCATGCAGTCTGAACTCTGCTTTAATAATCGAAACACAAAAAACAGAAACGTTAAATAGTCAAATGATAGAAAGAAAATAGAAACAAACGTCCAGAGAAATGTTCATTTTGGCAAAACTTTAATGTAGGTGTGAGGTTGAAAGGCAGAGGAGGACAAAATAAACGAGAGTGTCAAAAAGACAAACGAAGGATACGATTGAAACATTGGGAGTCTGATAAATAAACTCGGTTACGTGTTCAGCGCTTATATACCCCTCTAAAATATTCTATACTCAAATGCTTTAATAAACTCTTTTAGGAACGGAAAAATGAATTAAAACCACTTCACCAGAACATAATAATAGATCACTCTGTAAAATAAAGCATGATATTAACTTAATCTGTGCCGTCTGTCCTTATACAAACAGTCCTGAACGCATTCGCACCACAAAAATAAAACAAATATCTGAAATCTACAACAAACCCCCTCTAACACAACACCCATTTCAAGAAACCACTCCTAATGTCAAGACATTGTCGCGTTTTTTTCTGAAATATCCCAATTACAGTACACGTTGAGTCAAGAGCCCTATTAGATAGGAATCTCATGCTGTCGGGATAGCGTAAACCATCATGCCTTTAACGAGAGATTATTTACAGTAAAATCCTTTCTGTTGCTTGATGCACGTTCAAGAGGTGATAAAGACCTTTACCTCCACCTCAAGTCTTATATTCATTAAGACTAAGTGCTGATTTGGGGCGTCCCGTTGAGAAGCACCAGCACTTTTATCACCATCTGAAACGCTTGATGCGAAAAAGGGGCGTACAGTGCTTTTAAAAAATGTGTGCATGTGAACAGACGAACTCATAATACACCACACGTTCCCTTCAATAAACATGACAGACTGCTACAGACACTTTCCCCTGCGTGCAAAGGGTGTGTGTGTTGGTTTTCAAGACCAAGCAGAGGTTTCCTCGTGAAGCGGGATTGAAATGATGACTACTTTTACAGGTAACGGAGGGCCGTACAAACACAGACACTCATCTACAACAAGTCTTTCTTTCCTTTCCTGTCAGAAGAGTCCGGAGTTGAGGCGAAATCTCAGACTTGTGTAGAAGAGTGTGCTGACTGTAAGCCTGGCGGAGAGTTTAGTTTTTCTCTTGTTGGTGTTTATATATTTACCTATTTTAGACAGAGATGTCAAACTGTGTCATACTGAAGAGTCCTTCCCGGGTCCTTTAATAACTGGTATTGGAGTGAGGTTTATGCCTTGTATCGTGTGTATGGGTTGTTTTTTTTTGTTTGGAGAAATGAGAGCATTAATTGGCAGCCCAAGCCTCCAGGTCTTTCATGTCATCCTCGTCCTCTTCTTCTTTCTTTTTTGCTGCAAACACACAATACACATGCATTTAGTAAAAGACACCATAAACACATTTGCAGGAATCTAACAGAGCAATTTGAAGGGAGTAGAACTTAATTAATGCCACAATTTAAAGAGCACCAAAGATGGAAATCAACTTTTGGAAGCTGTTTGGACAGAACTGTGTGTAGGTAAAGTGTGTCCACAGTCATATTGGAGTGATAGAAACTCAACAAGTCTTTGTTTTATATTTGCTGACGTTAAAATAGGATCCAAATCAGTGATTTTGAGGCCCACCGCGTAGTCATACCTGTCAACACTACCGTTTTTCCCAGGAGTCTCTCATATTCCAGATCCATCTCCCACCAATCTCCCATTTTGTTATTTCTCTCGGAAAACTCCCTTATTTGTGTTTGTTTGTGTGTGTGTTTGTGTGTTTGTGTGTGTGTATGTGTGTGCATAGTACCTGGTCTGGATGGTAAAGACGTTGAGGGCACGTTTGGCAGTGGTACATTATCTCCAATCTCCAGAAGGTTCTTGTCCAACTCTTCCTGCTCCAGTTCCTCCAGTTCAGCTAACAGCTCATCCTGAAAACAACACACCGTCTGTTAATACCAAGAATTGACATGATTGTCAAATCTGACAGGATTTTAGAGATCCCACATAACTTAATACAGCGTAATTCTAATTTTAGGATGAGCTAATCTACTTTTTTTGCATTAAATACATCGAAAGTGATAGTAAAGTAACTCATAATAGTGTGAAAGATGTTATTTTTAAAACAAATTTTGTACTAAACTTTATATTTATCAAAAATTAATAAACATTTTCAGCAAACCTTTTGTTGTTGCTGTCGTCTTTTTGTTTTGTTCCATATTTACTTAAGTTGTTTTAGCATTTATAAGGATAGGACAGTATTTAGACAGTATTCAGGATTGGGAAAGGTCAGTGAGCTGGGACTTGAACTCAGGACACCTCAAGTGCAATAGCACAATGTATCAGACTCAGTACACTGACCATGAGGCTATCAGTGCCGACAGCACAACTTTATTTATCAGACAATCATAAATGTTTCTTGAGCATCAAAACAGAGTAACAATGCTGCAAATTCTACTTTGAATCAAAAGGAATAAAATACAATTAAAACATTGAAAATAAAAAGTGAATATGTGTATATTTTTTCCACAATACTGTTGATGCCAATATTATATAATTTACTGTATCTTACCCAAAACCTTTCAAGATTATGCAAATAATGACCTTAAGTTATTCATGGCAGCCTACACCAAAAATGTGGTGTCTGTTTTACATCAAAGTTGAATCTAAATGTGTTTTGGCACAAATATAATGTGTTTAAACAAGCAAGATGTCATTGGATTGATGCAATTATGTCATGTGGAGCTATGTTATTTTCTAACCATGTCATAAAGTACTTCACATTTGCATTGGACCCCTTCACACCTGTATTTATAATCAGGATTTCTGCAGGTTTCACAAAGTCAAACTTAAGACCTTTTTAAGAGCATTATGAATGACATTTCAGACTTGTACATGACTTTTTTATATTTATATAATATTATTATTTGTTATTTCCTAGCCAGATGTTTTAATAAATTGTCAAAACAAGCAAAGCCTAGGTGTATACGTATATATTTTTCAATAAAACATATCTTTAAAAACTTTAAAAAGGTCAGTGTCTTCACCATATATGGACTACAAATACACAGAGAACTTTTAAACAAATATTATTGCAAGGAAGATAATTAAACTATTTTGTGAATTGAGTTATAAATAGAGTCTTGTTAAAACTTCTATAGAGATGGATTGTTGGTGATTGGATGCGTGTCGGGTAGCTTTACATGGACATAGGAAAAGACCCGTTTACAATTATTTAAGAATTTTTAAGACCCCGCAGACATCCTAATAGACGTAAACACAGGTGCAAACTGTGAAAGTACATGGAAATAATCTGAAAGCGGTGAGGTTAGCATCTTTTACTCCTACCTCATCAAATTCCTCTCCAAACCCGACAGGTTTGGAGATTGCGTCTGAAATTTCTTGTGCCAGCTCCTGCTGTTCTGTGATGTCCTGCATGAGTTCGTCCACTTTGTCGATGTCCCTGAAAGTACACAAGTAAGATACTGAATCACAATAGCTATGACAATCAATAAAATATATTCCTAAAATAATAGTTTTGAGTAACACCGGTGGCCTCTAAGTGAACTAAAAGCTCATGCTTGTACTTGAGCACATGTAACAGTCAAAAGAAAACATGATACGATACCCTGATATACTCATGGACAAGTTGTTTTTTTAAGATCATTGATTATTGGAAATACTTTGAACATTCAGATGACATGCACACTGCTGAGAGCGATGTTTAGATGAAATATGTAAATATGAGACAAAACTAACAGCAGTGAGAGAAACTGCAGTTAAAGGAAGCATCTGATCACAACAACACAGAGATGTTTGCATAAGTTCTGCAATTCACAGACATCATGTCGCCAGATGAGCTCATTAAAATTACACTGTTCTGTAATAAAATCAATGTAAGACTACAGTTCAGCTAAGTGAAACTTTATGAATTAATCTGTTTCTTTGCAAGACACTTTGAGAACACAGGACAGCGCTATCCTAAGCGTTATATGCATTTTTTCAGGTGTAAAAATGTAACAAAAGGCGTTTTTCTTTTTCCTGGCTTTCATAGACTGTAAAAAAAATGCTTTTGTCTTGTTTATAGTCCAAATATCTAAAAATTTCTAAATCAAGAAGCATTTTCTTAGACAAACAAAAAATATATTGTCTTGTTTTAGGGAAAAATATGCCAAAATTAATGAATTTTTCCTGAAAACAATCAAAATAATATGTTTCCGGGTCCAAGCCGCTACTCATTTGAATTGAGAAAATATTCATTTGTGGCCACTTTTTAGTCCTATCACACATTAATGTGAATTTTATATAAAAATACAAATAAAAAACATTTCTAAAAAATGTATCACTTACTGGCTATCGGATATTAGGCTTGGACATATTTATTTTGTGATTTTTAAAAGTTTTGCAGAGCTTTGTAAACATTTATTATTACCATTTGTTGAGTCTTCCCATACAGTCTGATATAGCGATTGGACCCGGAAGCTGCTTTGTGTGACGTCCCACTTAACAAGCAGATGGGGGACGCAAAACAATCTTATGTGAAAACAAAAACAAAAAGTATTTTGCTTACCCCATTGGCAGATTATTTAGCTTGTTTTCAGGAAAAACTCACCTAAGTTTGGCATATTCTTACTTAAAACAAGACAATATTTTTTGCTTGTCTAGAAAATGCTTCTTGATTTACTAGTTTTAGACACTTGGACTACAAACAAGACAAAAAAAAATTAAGAAAGGCATTTTTTTTTGCAATGTAAACCTAAGAATTTGAGTCAAACGTTTTCTTACATACTGCCATTAAATTGATAAACTAAATTGTGTCATCATTTACTCACTCTTTACTTGCTCCAAACCTGTTTGAGTTTATTTATTCTGTTAAGCACAAAATTACTATTTAAAAGAAAGCTGTAACCTGTAACCATAGACTTCCATTAGTATTTGTTTTGATGCATATCAACAGTTACCCATTTTTTTTACATTTCTACAGAGTATCTTCTTTTGTGTTCATCAGAAAAAAAAAGAAACTCATAGAGATTTGGAACCACTTGAGAGAGGGTAAAAATACCCTGGGCCTGTTCTTAACTTGGTGTGAAAATTCAAACCCTCTCCTAAATATTCCTAAAACTAAGGAGATGGTTATTGATTTATTGAATGTCAGATGTCTCTGTGAGTGTACACCGCAAATGAAATCTCCCTAAAAGGACAAATACAGTTAGCTAACTAACAGTGTTTAAATTGTGGATTTTTGGGTGAACTATCCCTTCAAGACATACACTAACTAACTGTTGAAGTTAAAATTATTAGCCCTCCTGAATTATTAGGCCCCCTTTAGTTTTCCCCAATTTCTCTTTAACATAAAAAATACTTTTTTTAACATATTTCTAGACGTAATAGTTATAATAACTCATTTCTAATAAATGATTTATTTTATCTTTGCCATGGTGACAGTAAATAATATTTTACTTTTTTCAAGACACTAATACTCAGCTTAAGGTGCAATTTAAAGGCTTAACTGAGTTAATTAGGCACGTTAAAGCAATTAGGCAAACTGTTCTATAAAGTAGTTTGTTCTGTAGACAATTGGAAAAAAAATCATTCGCTATGAGGCTAATAATTTTGACCTTAAAATGTTTTTTAAAAAATTAAAAACTGTTATTATACTTTTTATTTTAGCCAAAATAAAACAAATAAGACTTTCTCCAGCAAAAAAAAAATTATCATACGTACTGTGAAAAATTCCTTGCTCTGTTAAACATCAATTGGGAAATATTTAAAGGAATAATAATAATAATAATAGTTTTGACTTCAACTGTATATATAGCTCCCTTAACCGTTAATTAGTCTGTGTTCTTGTACAGTACTTGCAATCTGCATCAACACAAACCCAGGCAGAGAGAAACAGAACAAAAACACTGATAAGAGCCGAGAAACTCCTCACATGTTGTCGTGTGCCGCCTTCATGGCCTTGGCAGCGTAGCCCATGTTTTTGATGACCTCGGTGTTGGTGTGTGCGTTTTCTAGCGCCTCCCGCTGGAACTCAATAGTGGAAAGAGTGCCGTCAATCTGAGCTAACTGCTTCTCATAGCGCTTCTTGCGCTTCAACGCCTGTAGTGCCGCTGTTTCAACAAGAGAAAGCAAGGTGAATAATTAAAGCAGAAAATGGGAGAACTTAGTAAATGCATTGCATAATACTGCACAATTTAATTAAGAGTCATTTGATTTGATTTAAAGTTTTTTAATTTTGTCAGCGCCAGTGGTGCAGTAGTGCAGTGGTTAGTGCGTCCACACATGCACTCCGGTGCTCACGGCGACCCGAGTTTGATTCCGCGCCGTGGTCCTATGCCGACCCTTACCCTCTCTCTGCTCCCATGCTTTCCTGACAATTCTCTCTATTGTCCTATCGAATAAAGGTAAAATCCCGTTTATTATATATTAAAAAATTATTATATAAAAAAGAAAAAGTTATTTAATTTTCTTAGTAAGAGTCATGAATTCGCAGCTCTGTAGTAGAAGAAGACAAGTGTTTTTATTGAATTTTTCAGAAAAACCTTTTTACATATGGCAACTCAAACGTATAGCAGAACGAAGTACATGAAAAAAACAGAAAACAAATACAAAGTAAAATAATACTAATTAAAAAGAAAAAGGTAAATGAAAAAATGGTAAATAATGAATTTAGGGGTGAGTTGGGAGCTTACAATTCAAGTATTTGGAATAAATCTGTTCTCAAAATATGACAGGGAGGGTCTCCAAACTTTGAAGAATCTATTATTTGAGCCTTGGGTGCTACAATTGAGTTTTTCTAGCTTTAAATTTGCCATTACATTTTCTACCCATTTAGTATGTGCTGGTGGTTTAGTTGACTTGCACTGAAATAGTATGAGCCTTCTGATATTGCTCTTTGACGTCACTCTAATATGATCGTTTTCACAGAAAATAAATGTTTATGATAAATTAAGTTTGACACTGTAAAAAAATTAAATATCTGGGTGTGATATTTGATGCCAACCTTACATTTGAGCCACAGTAAAGATCTTTTTTTTCAGCTGAGACACATTGGCAAATTTTGCCCCATGCTGCCTTTTTTCGCTGCTAAAAAATGAACAAACACCTTTGCGGATAAAATCTTTGAGTGAATCAGGCATTCTATTCATTGCCACTGAACTTGTCGAACTCTCTGCCCTCTGATATTTAGTATAGAATTCCTTGGAGTTTGCATGTTCTCACCGTGTTGGGCTGGGTTTCCTCCGGGTGCTCTGGTTTCCCCCACAGTCTAAAGACATGCACTATAGGCTAATTGAATAAACTAAATTGGCCGTAGTGTATGAGTGTAAATGAGTGGATGTTTCCCAGTACTGAGTAGCAGATAAAAGGGCATCCGCTGTGTAAAACATATGCTGGATAAGTTGGCGGTTCATTCCACTGCTGCAACACCTGATGACTAAGGAACCAAGCCGAAGAAAAATGAAATTCAAAACAAAATGTAAAAAATGAGCATTAACTAATTTGACCAAAAACAAAAACAGTACATTAGTGATACTAAAATATGATGGTATAGTTGCTCATTTTTAAACAGGCCCAATAGAGGTCTTATTTAGTCTCTTTGAAAATTAAAATCCCAAACCTTTATTAAACAATGATTCGAGCTGTCAATTCAACAAGCAGAAGATACAACAACAGCTGTGGAAAGAAGACAACAGCAGCTGTGTTTGTGCAATGTATGGAATGTAATCTGAATTTATCAGGTTTGCAATGCAATAAAACCCCAGTCAGACTCTTACATCACATGAGCGCTCAGAGAGGCCATTCAAAAGACGTCACATGACATAAAAATAACGCATGTCACACACTTTTTTCCATGACAGCACTGGAACTGTAAACTATGACAAAAGCCCAGTCCCACAGCCAGCTAACAGTCGTGTCCCAGCAGCAACAGCAGCCCATACAGGATAATCAGATCAATTATTGATTAACTCTGTTCTGGGGACTTTAAATGTGGAGTTGTGTTACAGACCTTACAACCTAGATGGCTCTTAAATGTGGCCCTAAAATAATTTATGGATTTTGGCCTGGATTTAGACAGTTCTGGAAGGACAAAACAACCTTCTAAAGATATTTTTGGTAATTGTGTTCACATTATAATACATTTCCACTGTCTAAAAATACTTTAATACTAATTTATGACAATGTTTTTATTTTTTGTTTTGAGGCAATCAGTTTCTAATTAGATTTTTAAATAGTATTGGCATTGAAATAGCTGCCAGAAAGAAACATGCAGAGCATTAATTAAGACTAGCAAAACAACAACATTAACATTAACATAAAAAGAAAGAGAACACAGATTTTTAAAAGCTTCAGAATATTTAACATATTCACTTTGGATTTTGTAAATAAAGCTAAATATTGACATGTTTTCATAGATAGACCACTGCAATCATGTTCTGGAAGTTAAAAAATAATAATAAATTATAAATTTTTAAAAACAGAGCGCTTTGAGTTCAGAAGTTGCTAATAGATTATGTATGTTTTCATTGAACCCATGTGTTACAATCCTTGATGGCAATTTGTCTAGGGTATTAAAAGGAGTAACATAAAGATGACCAAAGTATAAACTGATGTTGAAAAATGGCAAAAGAAAACACCAAACAACAAATTAGCACCGCAAAAGATTTATTGCTCCCACATTATTTACAATATTTACAAACCATAAGATAAATTTGAAAAGAACCAAGACAAATAGGAGAGGGAACTGAAGTTTGCGCATGGAAATCAAAGAAATAAATATAACAAAAACATTCCCTTAATCTCCTCCCCAATCCACTAAATAAGAAAATAACAATATGAAAAGAAAAGTCTTCAGCGCAAAGCGCCCTGAACTTACTCTAACTAATAAATAAAAATACAAAATTAGCGCACTTCGCTAACTAGTGTGTCTATACATCAATAATCCTGCGTGCAAATATGTATGTCACGTGACTTACTATGTTGTTCCAGATCTCCCTTGTCAAATCACAGAAGGTTTTGAATGGAGCATTAGCGGGCTATAGATGTAGCAACACACGTCAGAACTCTCAAACAAATCTCACTCAAAGTCATCAGTTACTCACTCAAAGTCAACATCAATAGATCTCAATCAAAGCACACATCAGTAACAGCGACAACGCACACGGACACCACCAAACAGACAACACGCCAAAACAACAACAGCTGATCTCTCCCCGTTGCCGCTTCCGTTTTTAAAGGGCTCTGCAACGAACGCGATTGGCAGAGAGAGAAGTCATCGTCACATGGTTGATTAGGATTGGCAGTCCTGTCAGCCAATAGTGCTCCAAAGTAGGCGGTACCTGAGAAAATGACAGGGCCGGTACAGAGAGAGAGAGAGAGAGAGAGAGAGAGAGAGAGAGAGAGAGAGAGAGAGAGAGAGAAAGAAAGAGCATACACGCAGCAAAACTGTGCGGTTCGTAACACTCCCCCACTTAAGAATAAACTCTTTTTCAAAACAAACAAAAAAAAGTTTATACTCGTGACAGTGCATCCGCTAGAATATTCTCAACTCCCTTCTTGTGCCTAATATCCAGGTTGTAACTTTGCAAGAAGAGTGACCACCGTGTCAATCTCTGGTTGTGATTATACAACTTTGAAAGAAATGTCAGTGGACTATGATCCGTAAAAACGATCAAAGGTTGTACACTACATCCAACATATACTTCAAAGTGTTGCAAAGCAAAAATTAAAGCAAGTGTTTCCTTTTCAATCACAGAATAGTTTAACTGATTCTTCTTAAACTTCCTCGAAAAATAACTCACCGGGTGAGCTATACCCTGCTCATCATCTTGCAGTAACACAGCACCAGCGCCAACATTACTTGCATCAACCTCAAGTTTGAATGGACGATTTAAATCAGGGGCTGCAAGAACTGGTGAACTACTCAACAGTGTTTTCACACTCTCAAATGCATATTGGCATTTTTCATCCCACACAAACGATTTAGAAGGGCTTAAGAGTGAAGTTAATGGACTAACCACAGACGAGAAATTTCTACAGAAGCTGCGATAATAACCAGCGATTCCGAGAAATCTTCGGAGTTCACGTCGCGTCGTAGGAACTGGGAACTCAGATATAGCCTCAACTTTCGCTTCCACAGGTCGAACTTGACCATGTCCCACTTCTTTTCCCAAATAAGTCACCTTCGCCTGACCAAACTCACATTTTGTTAAGTTAAGGGTCAATGAAGCACTTGCAAAACGTTGAAATACATCACGTAATGACTTCAAATGTTCACTCCAATCTCTGGAATAAACAACAACATCATCCAAGTAAGCGCTACAATTAGGAATACCAGCTAAAACAGTGTTTACTAACCTCTGAAAGGTAGCAGGTGCGTTTCGGAGTCCGAACGCCATGGCCGTATATTGTGCAAACGCATCTGGAGTGATAAAAGCAGCAATATCAGATGCTCTAGACGAAAGTGGTATTTGCCAATAACCTTTCAGCATGTCTAATTTACTCACAAAGTTGGCATATCCTACATTGTCAACACAATCCTCCATTCTAGGAAGTGGATAGTTGTCAGGAACCGTTAGTGCATTCACTTTTCTAAAATCTGTGCAGAATCTAAAAGAACCATCAGATTTTGGCACTAAAATACATGGAGAACTCCATGGACTAGAACTAGGCTTAGCAAGACCATTATCCAGCAAATAGTCAACCTCTTGTTGCATAACTGAACGTTTTACAGAATTTACTCTGTAAGCGTGCTGTCGGACTGGACGAGCATCTTTGACATCAATGTCATGTTGAATGACATTTGTGAGTGTTGGGACATCATTAAACAGACACTTAAATTCAGAAATTAATGTCACAAGATCGCGTTTCTGATCAACAGTCAAGTTTTTAAAATGTGAATCAAGATCTTTTAAAATCTCAGAATTAGACAAACTCACGGTAGACTGAGAAATACTTGGAAACATAAGCCCATCTTCATCAGCATCAACAGGATTTTCTGTCACAGCCACAACAGAAATAACAGCATTATCCGTCATTTTCTCAGCATCATCCTGTGCCCTCGAATGATAAAGTTTAAGCATATTCACATGACAAGTGCGGGTTTTTCGTC